AGTCATCCACTACAGCAGCCTTGGAGCCCTCCAGGCATGTGGGATCTGCTCCTTCCAAACATCCTGGTCAATTGCTGGAGAGAACTACACCAGCACATCTGGAGAACACCAAGAGGATAAACCTTGGATATATGTCCTCTGGCCCATTGCTACTCATAATCTTGGTTTGCACATCACATAAACCATAATTCGATTGATCCCCCATTACAGCTTAGAGCAACCTGGCTCTTGACTTACAGGTATTTGTTCAACATACATTTATTACCTCAAGGGTACCCAAATGGCAGCCTGTTGGTGCCTGCATCCCTTTTTACAGCCCTCAGACAGGGCCCTTTGGGGTTTTCTAAAGCAATCTCAAAGAACACCCTCCTTTACATCTCCCCAAATTCCTCCTCTCCTCAGAGAGGACAGGGCCAACAATTCATTTCTCTTTCTGGGGATGAGCAATAGCTAAGGGGGGAAAAAGTGCATCAATCTTCACAGAATATCCTGAAACTGGGGGAAATCTGTCACTTGTGAGACATTGAGGGTAAAATGGTGTTGTGACTGTGAGTCTTAAGGCATCATTCTAACCTTTAAATCCATACTTCCTTCCCAAAACAAGCTGAACATTTGGACCATGCCTCCGTGGTTCCAACATGCCAAACTTTATTTTTGAAAATAAAAGCAGCACCCTCTGCCCACAAGAAATCACACATCCTGCTTTTCCCTAGGAAACTGCTCCATTTAGAATTATTTCCCAAATGAGGAGCACATTTGAGGGTTCCTTCTCAGGAAAATAAAGGTTTTTGAGAGAAAAGAGTTTTAAGAAGATTGTTAAGATTCCCTTCCCCCAATTATTATCTTCAATTCAATCCAGTTGGCCGTGAAAAATTCACAATTGAAAGATCAAAAATTTTAATTGTTTTATTTAAATTGTGTACGCCACCCAGAGTCACCTATATGAGATGGGTGGCTATATTAATTTGATACATAAATAGATATCATTCCATTACATTCAGTTGGGGAAAATGGCTGGATCTTCATCACCCACCTGAATTGGAGGAGAAGATCTCTCTTTACTTTTATAAGGATCAATAGTATTTTCTTGCATCCAGCTGGGAAAAGATTTGCAGCCTACCCTGCACATATCCACATGACTCCTCTTCCCAGCAAGAATATGAGAGTCAGTAGGACCGAAGGGCATAGACTCCCTCCCTGAGACATGCTATGACCACATCTCCCCTTGGATTTCTGCTCAAGGCAGAACCACCCCATCCCATCTGATGCCAGCGAAAGAGCTGCGTCTGAATCAAAAAGTCCTCTGTCATGAACGTAGGGCTAACTTAGAAATGTTTCTGCTGCAAATAATGTCCCATTTATATCACCTCATATTCACCTCATGCATTTTTCCATGGGTGTTTTATACACATGGATCTCCCCAAAGTATTAGCCTATCACTGCAAAAACTAAGTATCGTAACTTTTGCAACGGCTTTAGTGCAGGTTGGTGCAAATGGAACTGGAGCCGAATAGCTGTACAATGTGCGATGACTATAAAGCATTTACAGTTGCCGGGTGATAGGGCTGGCCCCAGTAAGACCGTACCCAGTGCCTCCCCTCTGAAGAAGATTCTCCCCAAGATCCAGATGGCCCCTGCTCTGCTGTTATTTAGAAGAGCCATGAAGACCTGGCTCTTCACTCAGGCCTTTGGCTAGGGAAAGGGGGACCCCTCACTTCATCACGGATGGCATGGACATCTACTGGAAGGTGTGACATACCTGTGTAATGGATTACAAATCCTGTATTACTGACAGAAGCATCACTGCGGAAGGCCAGGAAGAGGTTGCTGCTGCTGCTTTCAATCCTCTCTGGTACTTGGGTATCATAGAAACTCCCAATCAGGGGACTAAGTGAGTTGGGCCCATCGTAGATGTGCAAGAAATCATATCCTGGTTCCAAATTGAACCTGAGAGGGAAGAGAAAAGAAAACTAAGTGTATCAAGTATCTTACTACTAAGACCAGTGATATAATGGAACTCTCAGAGCCTGGGAATGGACATTTGCAAAACATTGCAGGACAAGAACAGATGGATGTACCATTCATATCTCATCAATGACTTAGCCAGCTCCGTTCTATTGAGAAACATTTAGAAAGAATATCAAAGGCAGCAAAGAAGACCCACCTTAAGGTAGCTGCTGATAAAAGGGGGCTAAAGTACACACGTATCCAGTTTCTAAGATTCTGTAATCTAGCCTCGTTTTCCTTATAATAAATTTGGCTAACATGACTCATGTGAGAATCTAGCTTTCTGTTACTGACGGGAGATTGACAACTGCTCCTGCGGTGGGTTGCAGCAGAGAACAAGGCTATCAGGAAGGAGGGGGTGCATTCCAGAAAGGGAAAGGAGGTAAGAGACAATCCAGTCCTCAAGGGGAGCGTGGGAAGCAAAAGAGGTTCAGGATGGCCACTCCCTAGAATCTCCCAGGGCATATCCACTAGGTTAGAGTAATACAGGTTTAGTCTGGCAAGATTCTGTCTATAAGGTGTAAGCAAATAAAGGAACTGAACTCAACTGGACTTGGGCTGGGCCAGACAGCTTCTTTACTACTTCATTGCCCTTCTATAAAGATTTATACTTGAAGTAATTTTTACAGGAGGTGTAGAGGAGCATGAAGATGGTCATGGAGAAGGTATACAGAGACTGTTAGCAAAATGTGTGCTTAGCCCAGAAGAACAAGACACCATGAGAAATAAATTTATGGCTGTCCCACCCTGACTTTCTTTGGTATAAAAGGGAGGAAAGGGAAAACTCTGTCAAGGGTTTCATGATTTAGTTATTATAGCCCATATCAATAAAATAAAGTTCTAGTATTTCTTGTGGCACCAGTTTTTAGGCCTGGTCTGCCTGGAAGGGCTGATAAGAACTAAATCCAGCAGAAGGATTAAAAAGGGAAAACTTGAAAAAAAGAATGACCATTTTCAGTCTTTAGCTCCTTGTATGGAGGACAAACCTCTATCCACCTCTGTCATTCATAAACCCTGTGACTTTCAAGTGTTTGATCCTCCAGATGTTAGATGGAGGAGATCTCAGGCAGGCCACTGTATTGTGAGAATTAAAGAGACAGGGATGCGTTTGGGAAAAAGGTGCTCAATATTCTAAATGAATATGATTGGGGGGAAAGTTATTCTGCTAAGGGACATAAATGGATGGATGGATGGATGGATGGATGGATGGATGGATGGATGGACATAAGATGTGAATAAAGAGAAACAGTGATTGGTCCCGCATGGAGAACCAAGAGTAGATGTGAATGGCAATTGGTGACTGTTTAGAGACAGGACTGTTGATTTGGGATACCTGGTTTATGCACAAGTCTATTTATTTGTATGCATGGAATGGCAAAGGGATAAATTTACAAGCATGGTTGCCTTGATTGTTTATGATGAAAAATTGAGGGAATCAGTGAAGGACTCAAGGTTAATGAAAAGTTCTATATGTGGGACAGACCCTTAGAAGCGTCAAAAGTAGAAAAAATGGACATAGAAGCAAAGCAAAGCGACGTGACTGCAGGAAGAGAAAGAATGAACCTTGTATGATAAATTATTAAAAGACAGATTACTCTTGAAAAAGAATGAATGGAAACTAGACAGAAGGAAAGAGCCAGTGTGGTGTAGCAATTAAAGGCCCCAGGCTAGAAACCAGGAGACCATGAATTCTTGTCCTGTCTAGGTACAAAGCCAGCGGGGTGGCCTTGGGCTATTCCCTCCCTCTCAGCCCTGGGGAGAAGGTGGCAATGGCAAACCTCTTCCCAAAATCTTGCCAAGAAAACTGCAGGGACTTGTCCAAGCAGTTGCCAGGAGTCAAGAGTGACTTGAAGGCACTTACCCAAAGCGGTAAGGAAAGATTATGTTGAAGGTGGTTGGAACAGAAGGAATTGAATGATGCTACTGAGGGCTACAGAAGTTTATGGAGTATGAAAAATGGCACTTGGTAGACTGATGAAAGTGAAAGAGGTTGTGGATGAGGGGAAAAAGCATATAAGAATGACTGCTGCAAAAAATGATGAGGGAAATATATTGCATAATGTGTACGTAGAGAAAAACACAGTTGCATATATAATTGCAAAGAATGTAATCAAACAGAGCAAGGAAGAGCTAACATAAAAAGAAACCAAGAAAATGGAGAATGATTTTGATGGAAATTAAAAAAAAATGTTTTCAAAGTAGGTGAAGAGGCCAAACAAGGATCTTCCAGAATGAAGGTAAAAAATAAAAGTGATGAAATAATTTGTGCTGAAACCGAAATGAGGAAATGCTGGAAGGTTTATATGTGAGAATGACAGTGATATGTTAAAGAGTAGAATTTAAATTATTGCTATTAATGCTAGTATCCAAGCCTGTGCTGAAGGAAAGGAAGTCATAAATGTTGCAAGGAAGTTGAAAAATAGTAAGGGTGAAGGTATTGACAGGGTAAGTGGAGAAATGTTAAAATATGGATGTGGGTTGCTTGTGGAGTGGTTGTATGTTTTGTTACTACACTTGAACTTAGCCAAAAGGCCGAGAAGTGATGTATGTTTTGTTTAATGTGTGTGTGAAGACTTTATCTGGAATGAGGTTCCCCTGAGATCTGGATAGCAACCACCCTGTTGATGTCTCAAAGGGCCATAAAGACTTGGCTGTTCTCCAAGGCTTTGAATTAGGGTGATTGGTGCCCCTTTGCTGGACGTTAGCTATTGGTGGGGTCTTTTGGGGGTTGCGTGATTCACCATCTTGCTCTTCTTTCTTTTCTTTGTCTGAGTCCAGTGTTGTTGTCTGTTGGCTTTTGTTATATTGTTTTCATATCGTTTGGTGTATTGTAAGCTGCCCAGAGTCATTTGTAGTTGGATGGCATCAAATCAATCAATAAATTAAAAATAAATCTGTGCCTGATGCTTGGAAGAATGCCATTATTCTTCCTGTATCCAAAGGGGAAGGCACAGTAACAAGAATAAATGGAAAATCTACACAGGGACTAGTTTGTTAAGTATGTCTAGGAAGGTACTTGGTCAAATTCTGATTGATTGGGTACAAGAGGTAGAAATGAGCAAAATCTGGGAAGTGGCATAGGCAGAGGGTGTACAGACAGGGTTTCTGCTCTTCAGCAGGGCATTGAGAACTATATGAATATAAGAAAAATATTGCGTGTTTGTTGACGTAGGGAACATTTATGATAAAAGTGAATTGGCTGGAATTATGAGAAAAATTGTATGCTTGCCAAAAGTGGTAGAGCTATAGATTGTAAATGGCTATAAATTGTATGGAAGGATGGTTATATAAATTGTATGGAAGGATGGTTGCTGAAAGTGGTAGAGCTATAGATAATGAAAATAAAGCATGAGTGAGAATAAATGAATGCCTCGCTAACACAGAGCAAGGAGTAATAATGTCCCCTTGGCTGTTCAGTGTGTTGATGGATAAATATATAAGACCAAATTCTTGTGGTGGCAGCAGAAGTGTGTGGGTTGGTGATGTGAATTTATGTATACCATGTTGTAGGCTTACATCCAGAATGATTTGCAGGAAATGTTACATTATGATGCAAGAAGGAGCATCTAAATCAGGTTGCGCTTGACCAGAAAACTGGTTATGCATCTGTGATAAAAATATAGCAAGTAGATGAATTTGTATTGCATACCTTGCTGTTAGGTTGACTGAAGTTGGGAACTTTAAGATGTGGAAATCCTACTAGAAAATGTGATCTGCTGCAAAAAATGAATATTTCGAGAGAAGCCAAAATAGCTTTGTATAAGAATGGGCTTCTGCCCAATTTCTTACATGAAAGTGAGAATTTGCTAGAGAAACCATAGTTTCTTTAGCAAGATTTATTGAGAAGAAAGGGATGAAGTTACAAGAATTCTGGCAGCTGAACTACTCCCCGCCTTTGACCTATAGATCTCCATGCACTTTAGGGCAGAAGCATTTTGATTTTCTTTCTAACGGTCTTCCTATGATCCTGCATCAAGGCAGGTCTTTTCCCGGATAATAGAGAAGGTTTGCAGCTGGCTGTTTACATAATTGTTTCTCGAATCTTTAACAGTCTGGGAATCCATCTCTTTTCTTCCAAGGGCAGAAACCTTCACAGAAATTAACAGAACAGAAAGGTGGTTTCTTCAGACAGAATCAAAAGCTCTCATCTCAGTTTCAGTGAGTTGCATCCATGTCTTGCAACCCAGGGCATCTGAGGCACTTACGTGTGAAACACCAGAGCGATGACATAATCCGGGGAGACAGTCAGCTTCCAATCGCACTCCTTTCCCGGAGGGTACGGCTCTGGGTAATTGGGGGACAAGATAACCCCCGAAGGCCCTGCCAGGATCCCACCACAAGGAGCTAAAGGAGAAGAGGAGAGAGCACAACCACAGCTGGTCTTCGAGGCCCTCTTTTGAGGGACATCTCAAACAATCTATGCATGCATTTAGGACAAATTAAATTAAACATGAGGTAGTCTAAGACCATGTTCCCACTTGTATTGAACCATGGCTTGTGCAGCAAAGTGGGAGCACTTTCAAAGTTTACCCCCCCCCCAAAACCTCCCCTCACTCCTGTTTTGCTTGAGAGAGCCCATGGCTGGCTTGTGTGTGCAAAATTGGGAGCTACACCTGGAGGGAGTTCTGAGAGTTGCTCCTGCATGAGTTACTTAAACTTGACCAATTTCTGCAAAACCTCCCCAACCCCCACTCTCCGGCAACTTGCTCAGAGTTTGAGAACTTTGGACTTAATTAGAGGCTATTTTCCCCTTTTGTAAAGGTGACACTGAATGACCCCTCCTTTTTTTTTTTTTTTTTTTTTTTTTCTGAAGTTAATTATATTGTGTATTTTACATAATAAATACCCAAGTTTTGAAAGCAGGTATAGGTTCATTCTCTCTCTCTCTCTCTGTTCCTTTGAGTCAGTTTTTGACTCCCGGCAACTGCCTGGACAAGTCCCTACAGTTTTCTTGGCAAGATTTTGGAAGTGGATTGCCATTGCTGTCTTTTTCCCAGGGCTGAGAGAGAGTGACTGGCCCAAGGTCACCCAGCTGGCTTCATGCCTAAGGTGGGACTAGAACTCCTGGTCTCCCGGTCTCTAGTTGGGTGCCTTAACCCCTACACCAAACTGGCTCTCTCTCCCAGTCCTACTCCTTAGCTAATACTTCCTCTATTAGGCTTAAGCCATGTAACTAAGTCCAAACTAACCCTAATGAGGCTTCAAAACTAGAAGTTAGCTCATCTAGAAAAAGAGTATGTATTTCTTGGGAAGTGAAGCTGTTGCTGTTGTTATGTGGGAATTATTCATCAACATTTCCTCATTGTTCCAGCAGCTCCCTACAAGTGAGCCCACATTAGCATGCCCTTGACATTTGCCTGAGGAATGTAAATTTCCATCCTGACGGAACTGCTTGCACCCAATTCCCCTTTTCTGAGTCTGCTGAGGAGGTGTCTTGTTATTAAGTTACTCACTTAAAAATAAAGAAGCCCAAGACTGTCTTCCACTAAAGGGGGGAAAATAGCACTGGTGTGGGAGAGAAAACACACTTTTAAATTAGTTTAAGAAAGGAATACATTTAATTCCAATTTCCTTGATTGGGGCAACCGGAGGGCTATTTTTAATCCCACCCTACAAGTTGCTGAGAGATCTTGCCTTTCACTCTGAAAATACTTCAGCTTAACTCAGGCTCTTAACACGGGAGAGGGGAGAGGAGAAAGTCCCTCAGCTGGGCCTGCAGTGGGGTCAGTGCTCCAGCCCACCTAACTCAACGTCTGAACCCTGAGGATTCCCCTGAACCCCTGAATTAGTCTCATCAGCCCTGATTTGCAACCATGGGCCTCTTCTGTCCCCACATCTGCAATTCCTTGCTGCAGCAGCTGTACCTATGCAGGTGGGTGGATCAGGCTGCCAGAAGAACCTGTTCTCGATCTGCACGCAGCTGATCTTGGCATCCCCTTGCAAGGCGTAACCCGGATCACACTGGAAAATGATGGCATCTCCTGCTTCCTTGCTGTCGCCGCTCCGGCTCCCGTTCTGTGGGACTCCAGGGTCATTGCAAGAGGTAGCAGTAGACACTAAGGACCAAACGTCAGGGGAAGGGAATCAATCAAGGGAATAGAATTATTCAATTAATTTTTCAAGGATTCTGGAGATAAACCCTGAAGCTGTGACATGACATTGGTGTTGAGCACAGTAAGCTTCCTGGAAGTGCTCAGGGTTCAAAGATTGCTTCACCAACCAACTATCATGCATTGGGGCAGGGAAGGCCTCAGAAGGAAGCAATGCAGAAAGCAAAATGTTCCTTGTTGGTAAGCAGAGCAAGGAAGGTGATGTGGAATCCACCAAGCCCATCATTGTCCATCATGGAGGAAGATGCTGATGGTGTTATTGGTGGCATCCCACATGGTGTCATTTTCCTCTCTTCCCCTGCAGCGTTGTGGATGACACCGATAGCCATGGTTGTTCTTCAGGCATCAAGAAGAATATAGAAAAAACATACTGACATTTGTAAGCAATTTCACTTCATTTGAGTGGCCAAATTAGGCCAGGTGTGCCTAACTGCAGATGAACAGAGGAGTAGTATAACATGCACTTTGGAGCATTCATTCATTCATTCATTCATTCATTCATTCATTCATTCATTCACTCATTCATTCATTCATTCATTCATTCATTCATTCATTCATTCATTTGATTTCTATATCTGCCCATCTCAACAAGTAAGGCAACCTTTCCTGGCTTCCTATCTTCCAAGTAAATTCCAAAGGGAAAGACCAAGAGGAACTCTTCCCAGATGTCTTTTCCAGCCGCCATGCTGCTCTTAGACCCTGTGATGGAGTCCTGCCCTTGAGAAAACATTGGGAAATTTCCCTGGAGAAATTCAGTGCAATTGTCCATCCAATCTTTCTGCCCACTCATTTGGTACAGTGCTTCAAAAAGCGATTTGTGTCCACCTGTAATTCAAAGTGGTTTGTGTATATCCCCTTACATTCCCTTTGTGGCTATCCTGTGAGGTCATTCAGAAATTTGTTCCTGGCCAGGCTAAAATTTCTTCTGGCTCTGAAACTCAGTGCTAGTCTTAGCTAATGGTTCCTACCAGCTTTTTTACATCTTTGAACGTCCTGTAGAAGTCTGCTTCTTGCTGACTGTGTCCGCATTTTAGAAATAAATAAAAGGCAATTCTGTTTGCTTCAAATAACAGCCATAGCCACATTCCTCTAGGAAGAGCTATTACCTGGGTAATACCTTAGAATCAATTAAAATGACCAAGCAGAACTCTTTCTTAGGCAAGGCATGAGCCAGGCGCGGGAAGAAATAAGAAATTAGGGCAAAACTAAGACAGATTAGAAACAGTCACTTGAGGAAGTCATCAAATGGAGGTTGTGGACTAAATGCATTAATTACTGGAAGATATTATCCATACCAGGCTATATGCACTATTCAGGGCCCAAGTATTTTCATTCATTCATTCATTTTATATAGTAAATGCTTATTATTCCACTTGAGAAAACATAAAGGGTGTTCATTCCCTATTCTTCTACTATGGTCAAAACTCACAGGCTCCTGGTTTTATGTCATCGTCAGTATATAATTCAGGCCACAAAACTGGAAAATAAACAACTGCGCTAAATGTTCTCATAAGTGGGGCGTCAGCATCCAAGAAAACTCCCTCCCCCAGATCACTGATAACTAAGGGCATGCATTCTGCCCATGCTCAGGTTTCCTTGCATTGTAATAGTCAAGAGTTGAAACCTTGGCAAGGAGAATAGACTTTGCACAAACTTTCTTTGAGCTACAGTGAGCGCACATATGGATGAATTGTACCAGGATGCCTGCTTAAACACGCACTACTGATTTCAGACTTTTCTTTCTCCAGCTGGGAAAGACTGTGGGGAATAACAAATCAAGTCTGTTGCACAGAGATCAGATGCATGTATATTTGAGCACACTTTACTTACTACATCTAGCCATCTGCTAATTTTACCTGGCATTCTGCTATAATCCTATGTCAATCTATGCCAGTGTTTCTCAACCTTAGCAACTTTAAGATATGTGGACTTCAACTTCCAGAATTCCCCA